GACTCTACTAATCTTATCATTTTACAGATAAGAAAACTGAAGCAGGCAGAGAATAACCAACTTGCCCAACAGAGCTTCTTGTAGTAGAGAGGGGTACAAACCCAGGGAGCCTGGTGTCAGAGCCCATCCACTTAATGACTTACATACATAATCTACCTGCAAAATGCCTCTGCAGTGGCATTCTTCCTGTTTTACAGATGAGAAGCCTGAGGTTCTGAGGACATGAAATGATGGGGTTAGATATAGAAGCAGTGAACTAGGGTAGGAAGAATGTGACTTCATTCTACTTCCAGAGCTTGAGCTCTTCTGTAGCACTATGCTTAACTGAAGACCAAATGGAGTCTGTAATAGGAAATATTATTTACAAATCACCAGAAAGCCAGGGATTATTCTCTAGATGATTCTAGAGCTGTTCATTTAATCCTTGCAGGATGTCCTATTCTCAGAATGGCTGCTGCTACCACCCATTGACAGACCTAAGGCCCCTCCTCAAAATTCTCACAAGCTTGGGGGACAAGCCAGCCTGGTTCCTAGCTCTACCCAACATGGCTCTTTGAAGCTCACTCCAGGACCTAGGAAAGAGCTCAAGGACCAGGGCACAGGCTGTCTGCTCTCTACCCAGTAACTTCACATTAAGAAGCTAGGATGCCAAATGAAATCCCTCATATGTGTACTACCTTCTTTCTAATTTCCAGCCCCCTCTACTGTTTATGAAGAGTAAAAATAGATAGCTGTCTTCTAAGGAGCATTAGGTCACCTAGCCCAAGTGCACAGTGATTTTCAGGATTGATGTTTGCAATTATTCTACAGGTTTGACCAATGCCTGGTCCACAGAAGGAGGGGTCCATGACTAAGACAAGAAGGTGTCACTTATGTTTTACCTCTGGGGGAACTATATTCCCCTTGACTCCTCTCCAGGCATGTGGTTTTTATTACCTTAGCTTGAAACAGCAACTGTGTGCCTAAGAAATTTTACAAACGTTTACGTATGGAAAGTATTTAAGGATATGTCAGTCTCAGCTATGGGGACAGGTGGGGTGCAGCCAGCAGTTCTGCTCTCAGTTGCCAGACTGCAAGGAGAGGCTCTTGCCTCTTTCCACAAGGTGTTTCCAATAAGAGGGGCACATTTCCCTCATTAGAAATAAAACACAGATTGATGATGTTGTGGTATTTCTTGGGAAAAGAGGAAAAAAACAGTTTTCAGATGTCCTTGTTGAGCTCCTCTCATGTGCTTGTGGGTGGGGCTGGTTTGGGAAGGAGAGAAGTGTATTTATGGGGAAAGCAAGAGGAGCACCCCCATTATTCCACCACTGAGCCTGGCTCCCCAAACAGGGATGATGGGAATGATGTCTGCTCGGCTACATCGTAGACCATCAGGGCTTGAAGAGAGAGAATGAGTCCAGCCTCCCTATTTGGCAGATGAGGACACAGAGCCTAGGGAGACCAAAGACCTCCACCAGCAGTCAGGGAAGAGCTACAGCAAATCCCAGTCCAGTATGCTTTTCAGCATATTCCATTCCACACAGCCATCTCAACAATTGAACACACATCTATTCATGTGTAGCTGAAGCTTTAGGCAATAGTTCTCAATTGGATTTATGTAAAAAAATGCCTGGGAGGCTTTGCAAAAACACCATTATACTAAGCCTGGAGATTCCTAGGTAATGAGACTGGCATAAGGCCTCAGCCTGGGTAATTTTAAAAGCTCTCCTGGTATATTCATGGAGTTGAGAACCATCAGGATTGAAAGCCACTACTTTAAGGAACATAAAGATGAAAACAATATGTTCCCTTTCTTTCAGGAATTCACAGGGTGACAGATTTATGTAAATAACTTTCAATCTCCCATGCTAGGTGCTATATGAGGGCCAAGAAAAATTCAAGTGTGATCATGACTGAGCTATCCCCACCAGAGGACTAATTTGGGTAAACACTATTGTTTATTCCACCTAAGCAAAGCTTATTCACCTTTCCAGGCCTATCTCAAATCACCTCTCTTCCATAAAGCCTTTTTAACAAGACTCCAAATATAATCAGTATTCCTCTTCTCTGGACTCCTACACTATCCACAGGCTGTAAACAGTTTAGCACCAAATTATATACAATTTCTACTGTTAAGATCTATTAATCATGACATGAAATCTTCCACTTATTCAGTCCATACTGTGTACCAGCCACTCTGCTTCATGCTTTCCATCCTTTGCCACCAATATTCCTAGGAGATCTATCATGCTCCATCTGCACCCATTATATGGATTAAGAAACTGAGACTCATAGGTATCAAGTACCAGTTACTAAGGACATATGAGTCCAAGTCTATATGCCTCCAATGCCCATCATTTTATATTAAATATAAACACTATTTCTTTATCATAGCATGTACTCCTGATAATATTTTATAAGCCATAAGCTTCTTTGATATTCATTCTCTTATTTAATCCTGACTACAGCCCCACTGTCAGCTCCATTTGACAAGCAAGGGAATAATGTCTTAAAACATTAGGTAAAAGGCTCAAAATCCCATTGCATGACCATGACCCCATGTGTTCTGACTCCAAGTGCTATTTCTACTTCTATCCTGTGCCAAGTGCCAAGCTCTGTTGCTTGTTGACCTAAAGTCCCTTGAGAATCTAGACTGTGTTTTATGCTGTTCCTATATTCCCCATAGATACCAGATATGCAGTCTATTGCTTTATTAATTGATTTTCCAAGAATATCTTCATGAGGCATTCTGTCCCTAACGACCTGAAGAGCAAAACACAATTCTTTTGGGGCTGGAAAGAACTGCTGAAGAGATGTGACTGGTTCTTTTTAGTGCCATGACGAAGTCACTGATCTTAAAAAAAAAAAAAAAGTATTCCAGTCATTATTTTTGAAGGTATGATTTTTCTTTTTTTTTATATTTTATTTTATTTATTTATGATAGGCACACAGTGAGAGAGAGAGAGAGGCAGAGACACAGGCAGAGGGAGAAGCAGGCTCCATGCACCGGGAGCCTGATGTGGGATTCGATCCCGGGTCTCCAGGATCACGCCCTGGGCCAAAGGCAGGCGCTAAACCGCTGCGCCACCCAGGGATCCCAAGGTATGATTTTTCCACTATTTACATAAACTAACAGAATCAAAGAGGAATGTGAATTAAGTGACCTTCCCATGATCATGGAGTAGACCATGGAAGATAGATAGAACTTCTATCTACCTCCTACAAAGTCTCTGATCTAAATCCTAGTCACCTGCCTAGGGCATAACAGTGTTTTAAAATTTTACTTTGTCATGTCCCATCTTGTTTTCCAAAGAATTCAAAGTAGTACACAATGTGAATGGATGCAATAAATAATGGTAAAATATAAACAAGTAAAGACAATCAAGGCTGGGGAAAATGGAAATATAAGAAGTCAGTATGAGAAAAAGTATTTTATTAGAGAAAAAACATTTGCCTTAAAGCCCAAAAGACTGCTTGAATTTAAAATAGATATCCTTCTGTGTGTGAGGTTCAGTTGATGAGGTATTTTTAAGGGCTTAGTAAGTCCTGTGGGGTTTCACTTCATGCCGGATATTGACCAGGAAGGATGATTAAAGCAGTGAAACTATAGAATTTATCCCCAGGATGTGGTCAATACAAAGTATTCATGCATCTGTGGTTAAATGGGAGATGTGTTTTCCAAATCTACTGTTGCCAAAAAGACCACGTCAGTGCTTTGTGCAGAACAGAATTTCTATTTCAAAAATAAGTCTGAATCATGACGATTCATTCATTTAGCAAATATTGTGACAATAAATTGTCTGCCAGGAACTGTGCAACGCACTTGGAAATTCAAAGACAAATATGACACGTAACCTTTCCTATAGGACTTCTCTGTCAAGAGGAACAGACAGGCTTAAAATATATAATTGGCATAATTATAACAAGTATGATTCTACAGATATGTATAGTGGATATAGAAACAGAGATGAGGTCAACAACTTCATTGAGGTTGGGTGGTATATCCTATCTTCTAATCAATACTCATCAGTCAAAAAGACACCAGGGTTCTGGTACCATCCTTAATCAAGTGACCATGGGAGGGTTATAGAATAAGTAACTTACTTTTGTATCTTGCTAAACATCTCTATATTTCTGACTTGATAGTGTAGAGAAGTAAGGCAGGGAAAAGGCAGTAGTGCCAGCTTAAAAATCGTGATCAGCAGGAACAGAATAGGGAAATGTGAAGAAATGCTATAGCAAATCTTTTATAATAAACAGGTTAGTGAGACTGATTTTTTTGGCATAGTATTGGCATTTTATTTTCGGCAATCCTCCATATGGTAAAGGCACCTTCAGAGTAAAAATATCAACTTTCTAGCAGATTATACATCCATTCAAAACACCTATGATCACATTTAAAACAGAAATCTAGCATCCTGAGAGGGATGAAAATGGTAGGCTTTCCTGCCAGTGATCATCACCAAAAACTAGAAGCCAATGTCAAAAGTGACCAAGTATTTTAACCCTTTAGAGCTCTCAGTGCTGACTCGAAAATTTGGAGCAGCTTCTTCTGGCTGACCTAGTTGAAAGATATTTTAATGGCCATAAAAAATTTAGAATTTGCAGAGTTATATATATAAATTCTATATGCAGAATTTACTGTTATTGATTCCAGTATGTGTGTCTGGAGAACTCCCAAAGCAGGGCTCCATAGCTAATTGACACATGCCTGAAGTTAGCTCAAGTTACTACTTTAGTAAAAAAATCAGATAAAGAAACTTTTAAAGAAAATAACTTGGGCAGCCTGGGTGGCTCAGCAGTTTAGCTCTGCCATCAGCCCAGGGCATGATCCTGGAGTCCTGGGATCGAGTCCCATGTCGGGCTCCTGCATGGAGCCTGCTTTTCCCTCTGCCTGTGCCTCTGCCTCTCTCTCTTTCTCTCTCTCTCTCTCTGTGTGTCTCTCATGAGAAAATAAATAAAATCTTTTAAAAAAATAAATAAAATAACTTCCCCTTTTCTTCCTTTTATTGACTCACAGGTTGGAAGTTGAAGAAAAAAAAACTTAAAAAGAAAAAGCTAAGGAATGCCAAATACTGGATATGTGGAGGAATTCGATAAAATGGAGAGCCTTAATGAGAAATGTGCACACTTGTGACCTAAAGGTAAGTCACTGGGACCTAGAAGGACTGAACCCATGGTCTAAGTGTATGTGAGAAATGGCATTGGGTAAAGAGCATAGGCCATGAGCTAAACAGACTCCCAGTGTTAATTCCCAGCTCCTTTGGGTAAGTTACCTAACCTCTCTGGGGTCTGGTTATTCCTCTCACTTGAAAACAGGGAAAATTATGGTGTCTGTATCACTGGGTTGTTGTAAGAATTGAATGAGATAATGCATGTGAGGCTTAGCACAAAACCCAGCACTTAATAAAGGCCAAGAAAAAAAATGCTAACTGCTGTATTATAATAATTCTCTCATGTAATCCCCACAACTCTTTGAAGAATGTCCAATGATCGTCATTTTCTCAATGGGTACATGAGAATGGAGACAATGAGTATCTTTGCTAACTTGTCCCACAGGTGACTTTCTAAGTATAGCTAATGCCCTGACTTCTCCCTCTCCTTCTTTTCCCAGGAAACCAGACTGCACAGAGTGTAGATGGTCTTTCACATCCTTCCTAAACCATCCTGTCCCATGGCTTTCTCCCCACCAACTCTCCCTTCCTAGTTCCTTAGGATCCTCATGTCTCTCCTTCTACCATGGGAACATTTTCCATTTTGTTGCTGGCTATTGTTCCTCAACTATCTTATGCCAAGAACGCACAGGACTACCCCACTCTAAGCAATGGTATTAGAAAAACCCTGTGACTATTTGGACATCAGCTTGCCAGTCTCTGGAAAGTTTTTCAAACATTACCTTTCCCTGGGTTTCTATTTTTCCATATTTTGTAAGCCTCAAGGTACTCTCTCCCAGATATGGGCAAGGTGCCCTGGAAAAATGAGAATATTTTAGAGGTCAGGGATGATCCCAACTTCCACTATCATTCTGTAGGACTATAAGCAGTCAATGGAAGATGTGATGTGATAGAGAAGAAAGGAGGGCAGAGGGAAGAACTTGTTTTCTAACATTTGAGGTGCTGTCATGAGGACAGACTTAATCAGTCTTTTCTCCAAGAGCAGAAGCAAGCAAGGGAGTTTTGATTACTGATTCAATTTCACTGTTGGTAATTGGTCTTTCAAATTTTCTGTTTCTTTCTGGTTCAGGCCTGGGAGGTTATGTTTATGGGAATTTATCCATTTCTTCCATGTTGTATAATTTGTTGGCATATAATTTTTCATTGTAATTCTTACAGTCCTTTCTATTTCTTTATTGTGAGTTGTTATTTCTCCTCTCTTACTTCTGATTTTGTTTATTCAAGTCCTCTTCTCTCTTTAAATGAGTCTGGCTGGAGGTTTATCAATTCTGTTGATCTTTTCAAAGAACTACTCCTGGTTTCATTGATCTATTGTTTTGTTTTTGTTTTTGTTTTTGTTTTTCAGTTTCTATTTCATTTATTTCTGCTCTAATGTTTATTATTTCCTTCCTTCTTCTGGCTTTGGGGATTTTTTTTTTTTTTTGCTCTTTTTGTACTAGCTCCCTTCAGTGTAAGGTTAGGTTGTTGGAGATTTTTCTTGCTTCTTGAGATAGGCCTATTTTTTTTTCAATTCTTAAATTTACTTCCTTTTATTTATTTTTTAATTTTTTATTGGAGTTCGATTTGCCAACATATAGCATAACACCCAGTGCTCATCCTGTCAAGTGCCCCCCTCAGTGCCCATCACCCAGTCACCCCAACCGCCCGCCCACCTCCCCTTCCACTACCCCTTGTTCATTTTCCAGAGTTAGGAGTCTCTCATGTTCTGTCACCTTCACTGATATTTTCCACTCATTTTCTCTCCTTTCCCCTTTATTCCCTTTCACTATTTTTATATTCCCCCAAATGAATGAGACCATATAATGTTTGTCCTTCTCCAATTGACTTGCTTCACTCAGCATAATACCCTCCAGTTCCATCCACGTTGTAGCAAATGGTGGGTATTTGTCATTTCTAATGGCTGAGTAATATTCCATTGTATACATAGACCATATCTCCTTTATCCATTCATCTTTTGATGGACACCGAGGCTCCTTCCACAGTTTGGCTATGTGGACATTGCTGCTATAAACATTGGGGTGCAGGTGTCCTGGCGTTTCACTGCATGTGTATCTTTGGGGTAAATCCCCAGCAGTGCAATTGCTGGGTCATAGGGCAGTTCTATTTTTAACTCTTTGAGGAACCTCCACACAGTTTTCCAGAGTGGCTATACCAGTTCACATTCCCACCAACAGTGCAAGAGGGTTCCCCTTTCTCCACATCCTCTCCAACATTTGTTGTTTCCTGTCTTGTTAATTTTCCCCATTCTCACTGGTGTGAGGTGGTATCCCATTGTGGTTTTGATTTGTATTTCCCTGATGGCAAGTGATGTGGAGCATTTTCTCACGTGCTTGTTGGCCATGTCTGTGTCTTCTTTGGTGAAATTTCTGCTCATGTCTTTTGCCCATTCATGATTGGATTGTTTGTTTCTTTGCTGTTGAGCTTAATAAATTCTTTATAGATCTTGGATTTTTTTCAGGCTTTTTATTGTGGCTGAGTTCTAATTTCATAGAGTTAGTCAGAAAAGATGCATGGTATGACTTCAATTTTTTTAAATTTTTGAGACTTGTTTTGTGGCCTTAATATGTGATACATTCTGGAGAATGTTCCATGTGTACTTGAGCATTCTACTGTTTTAGGGTGGAATGTTCTAAATACATCTGTTAGATCCATATGGTCCAATGTGTCATTCAAAGCCAATGTTTCCTTGTTGATTTTGTGTTTGTATGATCTATTGATGTAGTGGGGTGTTAAACCCCCTATTGTTATTGTATTACTATTAATTAGTTGCTTTATGTTAGCTATTAGCTGCTTTTTGTATTTGAGTACTCCCATGTTAGGTGCGTAAATATTTACAATCATTATACCTTATTGAGTTCTTCACCTCTTGTTAGTTCTTTTTACATTTTCTATCTCTTAGTTAAAGGTCTCACGGAGGTCCTCTACTCTTCTTAAGTCCATTGAGTATTTTCACAACCATATTTACATCTATCAGGCATATATGACTTATCTCCATTTTGTTTAGCACTTTTGCTGTAATCTTTGTTATTTTCTTTCATTTGGGGAATATTGCTCTGAATCCTCATTTTGCCTGTCTTTATCTGTTTCTAGGTGTTAAGAAAGTCATCTATGTCCCCTACTCTTGAAAGTAGTGTCTTTATGAAAAAGAGGTCCTGTAGTGAGAGCCCTGTAGCACTCTGTCCTCTGTTTGCCAAAACCTTGTGCTCCAGGAGTGTCTCCTATGTGTGCTATGTGTGCCCTACTGTTGTGGCTGAGCTGTGTTTGCCTTCAGTCCAGTGATTCGCAATGGCTTTTTGCCGGTTATGGGTAGGGTTTGGTCCCTGTGTTCTTATTGGGTCAGCCTGGGGATGTCTTGGGCTTGAGTTGAGGCAACCAGCTGTTTGCCAAAGATACAATAGCACTGAACCTCTTTGACATGGTCTCTTCTCTACATTTAGCTGTAGAGAGTCTGTTCTGCCATTCTTTGGGTCATTTTCTGGATTATTTATACTGATATTAGTGTTATATAGTTGTATCCCTGGGAAGAGATGAGCTTAGGATCCTCCTATTCCACCATCTTCCTCAGAAGTCCTATATGATACTCTTTTAGAGAAAGTTCCCAGGCCATTTGCTAGAGAATCAGGTAGAAAGCCCATGTCAAGGGTAAATGGCACTTAATAAATATACAATTGGAAATAGTCTTTGGGAGCTTATATCTGATATCTTTGATTTAAGTCTAGTGGGTGGATAGATTAAGGAATACCACCATGGTGTGGGTAAAAGGAAATAGAGTTAGGGATATGTGTAGGGGGATAAGGACAGCACAAAAGCCCTATAAGCAGCTTGTATAGATTTACATACCTCATTGGACTCCTTCTCAGAATAAGCTGATAATGATGACTATAATACAAAATAACAAGTCAAAGAATTATTTAATGGGTATGGGTTTGCTCCATAGAAGTATGATGTTAAAAGTGTCACATTCTTTTACCTTTCTATATCCAATTGGACGAACTCTTTATCTCCAGTCTTCCCACTCCATCCCCTTGTTTCTTAAAAGAGTCTCAGGTCTTATCTGGTCTCAGGAACCTTTATTTCCAAGGTCTATTTGTCACTACTGCTGACATCTGGCTCCTCATTTTTGCTGTAGCTGCCCTTCCGGCTCCCTGCTGGGTACAGACTAAGGTACAGGGATAGGGGCCATGGCTCTGAAGGCCCTGGTATTTGCTGACCACCTCCAGGCATAGAGATGTACCACTTGCCATCTCTTGGGGCTCTGTAAGGCAGTAGGATTAGGATCCCTAGTGTTCAAAAGAATGCACTATCCTTTCATCTCCCAGGTTTAAGAAATCCAGATCTTTCCAGCATTCATTCACTGAGACCTCTCTTCAACCCCTAGTGTCCCTCCTTCTCTCCACAATCTAGCTTCATCTACCTCCTATAAGCCAAAAATTTCAAAACAAATCATGTTAAATCTCCTTTGGGCAAGTGAAATACAGCCGTCTGGAGCACAGACCTGCAGTTACTCTTTTTGGTAAACTGGACAGCTTGTAGTTATTTATTTAGCTTTTTGTATGAGCTAGGCACTGTAACAAGTGTTTTGCAATAAGCATTGTTTTATCTGATCCTGACAGGATCCATATGGGTAGGTAAGATTACTACTTCAGTCAAATGTGTAAGAAAAGTAAAGCTTGAAATGATAGTCAAGACACCTGCCTAGGGTGGAGCTAATAAACCCAGGCTACCAACTCCAGAGCCCAGACTCTCAATCACCATATCATCTGCCTTCCTCTTTAAAATTAATAAGCAAATCTCCTTTTCTCATTCTTTTTTTGAGGATGCTACAGTGAAAAATAAAAAATAGTGAAAGGGAATAAAGGGGAAAGGAGAAAAAAGGAGTGGGAAATATCAGAAAGGGAGACAGAACATGAGAGACTCGTAACTCTGGAAAATGAACTAGGGGTGGTGGAAGGGGAGGTGGGCGGGAGGTG